CGGACTAAGAGATGCCGTCCCTCGCTTTTTTAAAAATTAATTAATAAAATAAAATAAATTAAAAACGACGGACAACGTGGTTATTTTTTAATTTATATATAATTATTTTTAATAAAAAGCGACGGACGGCGTCTCTATATATATTAAATAAATAATTATTAATTATATATATATTTAGCGCAAAAATCTGTGAAAAAAAGCGACGGACTAAGAGATGCCGTCTGTCGCTTTTTGTAAAATAATTTTAAAAATAATTATTTTTATTAAAAAGTGATGGACAGTGTGACAAAAGGCGTCGCTTTTTGGAGCGACGCCGTTCGTCGCTTTTTGGAGCAACGCCGTCCGTCGCTTTTCTGCCCGTCGTTTTTAAGCTGTTTTTTTAGTAGTGATGCTTTTGGAGTAACCCTCGTCTATTTTACAAATGAAAAGTGAGAGGAAAATGAAAAGAAATTGTGGTTTCTAGGGTTTGATTCTGTCAACCCTGCTATGGAACCCACAAGCACTATAGCGGTGGCGCCATAGCGGTAAGGTTCCCGCTATTGTGGCCTGACGTCAACATGAATCAAATTCAAATATATATCTAAATTTTTGTCATTTCACCTCAATTTAATTTGGCAACGTATTTTAAAAAATTAGAGTTCCACACGAGATGTCCTTTGAATAACGATATGATTGTTCGTTACATTGTATCTTCTCTTGATATACCTAAACCATCTCAGCTTGCTTCCCTCATATTGTCAACCACAGAGGTCACTCTCACTTTGTCTCGAATAGTTCATTCTTAATCTCATCTCTCACACTATGCCCACACATCTATCTTAGTATTCTCATCTTCTTTACTTTCCTCTTTTGGACGTGCAAGTTCTTGATTGGCAAACATTCCACATCATATAATATAGTTGATCTAACAACCATTTTATAAGACTTACCTTTAATTTTTGGTGACACATTCTTATCACACAATACACAGATTTAAATCTCTTTTTCATCCATACTTACGACTTTGTTTTTTTAAATGACTAGCTTATTAATCCTCACCTCCACATCTTCCTCAAAAGCTATGTCATTGAACTTGCATTTCAAGTACTCTCTCTTAGTCCTGGTCAAGATGATCCCTTTAAACTCCAAGGTTTGTCTTCTATTGTCCAGCCTATTGTTAACTTTGTCGTGCGTCTCATCTATCAATACTATGTCATTTGCAAATAGTATACAACATGACACCCTTCTTTGAATATGTCGCGTCAGCACATCCATCACTAATGCAAATGAAAAACGGGGTACGAGTTAATCCCTAGTGCAATCCCATCTCGACTTGGAAGTGTATTTGGTCTTCTCATACTATTCTCACTCGATCTTGGCTTCATTGTACATGTTATTTATCGTTGTAATATACACTGCATGTATATATTTAACTTCCAAACATCTCCATCAAATCATGTTAGGTACAATTCATCATATAATTTTTCTAGGTCAATAAACTCGTTATATCTATAATAATGCTTCACCAATCTTTATATGAGATATAAATAACTTTTGTAGTTGATGAACCAATAAGTGAACGAGGAATATATATACGTGATACGTCAAATCATAAATATTAAAATTATTTTTCTTCTTTTATTTTACCACGGAATAGCCTAGTGATTGAGGTAGAAAGTCACTTGACATGCGGAAACATTATTAGAAAAGTGTGTCAAATTGAGAGAATCTACCAAAAGTCAGAAAATCTACAGAAGCCTTTTTGACTTTGATGGAGCTGTCTGTTACTGTTATTCATTATATATTCTATCCGTCCCATTTTAGGTGACATTTTTAAAATTTTGAGATTCAAATAAGTTTATTTTTAATTGTAAATTTTGTATAAATCTTTTAAACATTTTGAATTTTGAATTATTGTGATTTATAGTACTTTTTACGTAGTTTATAATTATATAAATTTCATTTCAAAAATATTAAAGATTTCATGTGCAAATTTCCGATCAAACTTAAATTGTTTGACTCTAAAAAAAAAGTGTCACATAAATTGAGACAGAGAGTATATATTATTCTCTCTCATTTTAATTTATGTATCTTATTATAACGTGATATGAAATTTGATAAAGTAAAAAAAAATGAATTTTATAATTTTAGATAAAAAATATATATATTAAATATATTAAAATATTTTTTATTTAATAATCTTAAACATGTTCTTTCCCCGTTTCAATCTGCTTGAACTATATTTTTTCTTTTAGTTCATTTAAAAAAGAATGATCATTTCTCTTTTAATTTTTTTTTAATACTAATGTTTTCACATAATATATTTAAGATTACAAAATGAAAGAGCAGTATCTTCAATTTAAAATCATAAAATTCAAAATTCTTATTTATTTATTTTCTTTAATTTTGCGTAGGTCAAATGAAGTGAAATAAGGAAGTATATGAAAAATCAAAATTAAAAAAATTAATAAATAAGAAAAGAAATATACTACTAATTTATAGTCACTTTTGTGAGTATGACTTCACTTGCTATGATGTTCCCTTTGAATGGTCCATTCAACCAGATTCCATACTTCAAACATCCGTTGAATATGCAAAATCTAATCTTGTTAAATGTTATTAATATAGTCAGTAAATCTATTGTATTTTCAACTAAAATGATCACCAAAACTAATTAGATAAAGTTGAATGACCGTGAAAGTCAATTAAGTAAAATTGGATGACTTTTGATAAATAAAATAAAATCGAGTGACTTGAATGATTAGTTATTATAAATTGAGTGATCGTTCATACATTTCAAACTCATCAAAGATTTCTCAAATATGTAAAACTGTAATCTTAATAAAATTTCATGTTTTTTAAATATATATATTAGATAGTCAACACAGGCAAATTTAAGAAAATCTAATTGGACAGGTTAATTGGAATTGTGCTCATTTGACTACAAGGAAGACTCAGAAGGATTCTAGAGTAAAAAGCAATAAAATTGATCAAAAATTTTAAAAAGGTCAACAGTTTTAGGATAAAACCAAAATGGTGAAATCGTTAATACATCGCTAACGATGTCAAGTTATGAGATAAGACGCATGATGTCATGAACCTTACTAGGCTCGGAGCAGCTTGTGCCTTACAAGCCTTCCCTTTTAAAAAGACGGTTGACTTAAAAAAAGTATTTTAATATTGTAGTTATCTTAACATTTTTCAATTTCATTCTTGTAATTTACACTTTGTTTGGATGATTGTACTGTATTGTTAGTCTAAACACAATGTTTATTTTATTGTTATTTAAATTCAATTCTATTGTATTTAAAAAATATTGCAGTGTTTGTTTGGAACATTCTTTCCAATTTTTTTTTACAGCGTCTTAATTATTTAATTCTTATAATTATACTAGTTACGATATTCAATGTTGTGCACATATTCAATAACATTAAATTATACAGAAATTGATTATATATATTTTTTATAATATTTATATTTAAATATACTATTAATTTAAAGTTAATTAGAAAACAAACTTTAAATTAAATTAGAATTTCCGCAGTCAAATGTAAATCGTAATTTTATAGCCGAACGTATAGCTTAAGTGTACTATCGCCCATTCCCTTTAAATATTAAGTTATCCTCATTTATGTATTTGTATGTATTCAATATATAAAGTAAAAAAATAATTAATTAGACTTTGTTAATATATAAAACATCATAATATGAGGAGTGGAGAATATGAATATCCATCAATACTCAAATCTAATCAAATGGAAAATTGCAGTCCAACAAGTATAAACCAAAGGGTTCCACTTTATAAATTCAAAAGGAACATGAATCACTAAAAGTGGCACTTGTCCTACCGACATTTCTTTATTTCATAATCCTAATTCCTACACCAACCACTTTTTTTTTTTAAAAAAAATATATAATAAAAATATCACAACTAACTATTTGTTTCCAAACAATCTACTACACTATTTTTTTTTTTTTATGGTGATATGCAATGCAAATTTAAATTAGTTAAGCTAGTAAATTTATTATTTTCTTATTGATTTTTTACTGACAAATGTTTAGTGACTTTTTCACAAATATTTTAATTGAATTAGTATGGAAAGAAAAGAACTAGTAATAGGTTCTCTTACTACAAACTTTTACCTAGTTATGATGTCAAATAAGAAAAACAATAACAAGAAGCACAACGGCTAAACAAGTGAAAAATAAGAAAGGTTCACCTAAAAAATAAATTGTGGGGAGACTTTGTTTCGTCTTATTGATGTGTGGTGAAATTGACCTCAAGACCTAAAATTAGATCAAAGTGATTGGTTTATAAAACAGAACATTTTCGCCCATTTAAAGGAAGTGGTAACTGACGAGGGTCGTGTGGATGTGGTGGAGTGGTTAGTATTTATTTATTTTTAATCAAAAGTCTCGATTTTAGCAGGTTCCTCTGGGTATGAAATAGTTTTTTATTAGAAAACACTTTACCTCCCAATATGAGATTTTTCAACACGAATTCAAATTTAATCGAATTTTAATATTAATATCGAGCCTACACTTACCATTCCTACACTTCAATGTTTGAAAAGTTTTTATAGTATCACTTTAAACAATGTGAAAAACGTACAAAGCCCCTCGCCACGTCCCAATTCCCTTGGGTCAAAGGCCCCTACCCCCCCACCCCCCCCCCCCTCCCTACCCTTCAAGAGATTACATGCATATTAGTCAATATTAACTACTCCATTTGTGCCATGAAAATCTTATTTGTATTACAAGAACTTATATAAAAGTATATGGTCAAAACCACATAAGCTAATAATCTAATTTTCATTTCTTTTAAATATATAATAAAAGTTTAGCATATGATTCAATAATGTAATTTAATACGAATAAAATAAAAAAAATAAATTAAAGTTGGACTTTTGAGGCTAGAAGAGGGGTGAGTGGTCCATTTCAAGTTACCACCCACACAAAACATCCATAGCCCACATGCCTTTGTTTTTCCAATAAATACACCTCTATCTTTCTAATTCTTTGCCAACACACAAATTAAACTATTCTACTATGGCTCTAAAGAAAGCAACTCAAACAGCAGCTCTTAAACAAATCTTGAAAAAATGTTCTAGCTTTGGAAAAAATGAAAATGGGCTACCAAATGATGTCCCAAAAGGACATTTTGTGGTATATGTGGGAGAAAATAGGAGCAGATATATTATTCCAATTTCTTGGTTGACTCATCCTGAATTTCAAAGTTTGCTTCAAAGGGCTGAAGAAGAGTTTGGATTTAATCATGATTTGGGAATTACTATTCCTTGTCATGAACATGATTTCTGCACTCTTATTTCTAACTTTTGATCGATCGGTTGGTGCACTAAATATATCGCTATGCACAGAATTCGAGAAGGGGAGAGGAGATCTAGCAAATCAAAGTGGATTTGCTAAAAAAATAAAATAATTGTGAATACTAGAAATTTTGTATATTGGTTTTCATGTACTCTTATTGTTTTCGTCTGTGGTGTTGATTGTTTACACCCGTCGAAAATTCTTGTTTATGAGAATCAATTAAATTCCAAAAATATTTATTTCATTGTTTTTTATTTTTATTTTTATTGCTTTTTCCAAGTAGTAATTCCCAACCTTAAAAATTATTGTTTGCAACATTTTCTCAAATATGGAAAATAAATTGCAATTACAATAAAATAAAATTATTCATGAGGATTGTGAGTATAAATCTATTTTTTTTCTTGATTGTTCTTTTCTAAATATTTTCTGTGATTCGAGGGTCGTTAATAGTCTATTTTTTGAATTAGAATGATTTTGGACCTCCTTAAGATTTATGTTATCTTTGTGAAAGGATTTTGTGAATCTTGTTGAATGTCAAGAAGAGTTCGATCACCTCTTGGTGTCTTTGTTTGGTTGACCAAAAAAATTAAAAAGATTATTAATAAATAAAAGAAAAACAGATGACCTGCTCAAAATTGACTAAAACCAGTACTCACCTTTGTTTTTGTTATATATATGAGTGGATAATTTAGTGTTCAAATTAATTAATAATCAAGATAAACAATGACGAATGAATTGTGAACTTCTCTGAATTATTAGTTGGACCAAGTGGACAAGTTCAGATTAGGGTGCGCATCGGTCGGTTCGGTTGTATATGTTATTGATTCGGTTTATCAGTTTTCGGTTTGTAAATACGTCAAACCGATAACCAAACCAATAACATATTTCTTATTTGTTTTTGGTTAATCGATTTATGGTACTTAACGATTCGGTTTTCGGTTTAACCAATAAAAAAATACTCATATATATTATATACACGATAAGAAATTTTTCATATAAACCATATGATTTTTCCAGCATTTGGCATGAAAGTAATAATCATAAAAGTAACAATCATTTTTTTTGCAAGTTTAGACACTAGACACATTCAAAGGAAAAAGTGTGAAAGTAACAATCGTTTAACCATTAACAAAAAGTGTGAAAGTAACAATCGTTTAACCATTAGCAATAAGACTAGTAAATTTAGTATAGTCTTATTGGGTTATTGGTACCATTAACAATAATTATAAAACCGAAACCAAACCAATAACCCAATAAAAAAATTTGCAAAACCGTTTAAAAATAACCCAATATTAATAAACCAATAGTGTTTTTTTCGATTTGATTTATTGATTAAATCGGTTTTTGCACACCCCTAGTTCATACAATGAGAATAATCAATTCATGAACTCAGTAAAAAAATAATAATCTTATTTTACTTTAAAAAAAATAATGAATAAAAAAATTAAGGATTTTTGTTTGAATAAATTAAACTCCACTTCTCAAACAATTTGGAGAAAGTTTGCTTGTTTAATTTTCTGTTTTCCTATAACCATGTATTTAGTATTTGCTGATTAATTCAAATTCACGTTATCTATAATTCATTTAAGGGGAGAAAATACTTTCTTCTAATAAGAGTTTCTATGTTCTCCGTATTCGAAACTCAAAATCACTAATTAAGAATTAAAAAATATATAATTGCAATAAATTTTCTCAAGTATAAAAATATACTTTAATTACAAAACAAACAAAAAAAATGATCCTTTTTTATTTAAGATTGTGAGTACAAATAGGTATATTCTCTTGATTCTTTTCTCCAAAATTTATTCCGTAATTCAAAAATTGTTAATGATGTATTTCTCGACCTATAATAGTTGAAATTTATTTTTGGTTCTGTCATCACTAACCTCAATTAGTGATAAAAATAAAAACCTGCAATAGTGAAAACACATTCTCTTGTAGCACATGGTTGTAGGACCAGAATTGGTATATGCCTAAACATTCCAATCACTAGATTTTGTATTAAAAAACACAAATTATCTCCTAGAGCTGTTAGTTGAAGACAAAGTTTGATTGTAATGGGGACAAAGGTGCACATGCAAACAGTGTAATTAACAAAAAGGCAATAACATCTTTCTTCATTTTTTTATTTTAAAAAAGTAAGATTAAGTTTAATATATAATAAGATAAATTAAATGTAGAATCCATTTTGTATTGATTTGAAATTAAATGGAATAATCTGTCATGCTTTTGGATTATCATATGGAAAATTTGAAGGCACAATAGCCCCCTAAAACTGTTACTTAATTCACACAAGTAATTACTACTACTATATGGTTTGCTATTGCCTGTTCAAACTCTTTATACTTTGTCATAGAATCTTTTTATTACTTTCTCCGTTCAAAATATTTATCATATTTTTTATTTATATGCTTTTAAAAAAAATATTAATTAAGAAAGATGTTTGACTAGTTCATTTAATTGCCTTGAACTTTTAAAATAGTAAGTATTATGAGATGGAGGAAATATTAAGTAACTATTCCTTTCGTCTCAAATTATTTATAGTAATTTCTACAAATTATCCACAAACCTCGATAGCATACTTGTTCTTCTTTTCTTCTTGAATCTGAAATTTATTTGATGATTGAATTGCTGGGATAATTTATCAATTTTTTTTTTCATGAAGTCCTACATTAGATGGTAAAACACTTTTTAATAAAAAGTGACTTTTTATCTAAGAGAATTCGAATTTGAGATTTCTAATTAACAATAAAAAAAAAAAAATACTTACCTCTCTATCATAAACCTGAGTGATTATATAAAAATCTGTGATTCAATCTTTAATTGCATGCGTCCAATCATTTAGGTAGTTATAAAAATAAATGAGTAGTAACATAGCGGGTACCACCTAAGTTGTATTCAGTTGGGCCATTGGCTAGTGGGCGACCGACCATATTGACATTTGTTGATAGTTAGGCTGCTCGAATTAAAATTGAAAAAATGGTGATGCGTGTCAAATACGTATTCTATCACCTTATTAATTAGGTGGGTCAATACGTAGTAGTACATCATTTAAATTAAAATGTACTTGGTCTTGATGATTCATAGCAATGGGCAGCAAGTTTTTGCATGGTCCGTTTGCCTCAAAGTTCTGGCATAATGGAAATAAGTTGTCGCAGGGAAGGCATACTTAAGTTGATAAGGTAAGATATTTTTTCGACAGACAGGATCGATCTTTCGTTATTTTTAGTAGTGATTGTACGTAGGAAGGACACAGGTGGGCTCGGAAACCTAGACAATATATTTTCCTGCTCATATGTGGAGTATATCTTTTCCTCCTCCCTGCAGGTGGGCTGCCCTGATTTTGCATGTTCTCTCTATTTTTTTGTACCATATAATTTGCTATGCCTGACCAGCCTAGTTTAATTGTCTTGTAACAAAATAGTACTGTACTAACTAATATATGTCTATAGTATTGGCATCTTATTTATTGAAAAAATAATAAAATATTGTTGCTGTCATTAATATCGATTATAGGAGTGTATACATATTCTACTTATATAATGCTCGAAAATATATAACATGTACACTGAACCAACTCATGTAATGGGAAAGCACAATACCCTTCTTTATGATTGTGAGCGTGCTCTATCATCTATGCTCGGGAACTTCAGTACATCATGAACTTTTTAGGTCATGAACTACGATTTTCACATGCCTGACCCATGACTCACCAATTACGTACGTACCCCGGGGTCTTGAGGTATTTGGGCCACAAAATGTTGGACAACTTATAACTCACGTTTTTGTTTGTACAGTCTAGGAGATCCAAGTGTTGTTAACCATATAAGGAAGTCATGAGATAAGTTCAAAAATATGCGTTTGTGCCAAGGTATATTAATAGAGGTGGTGTGTTAGGCTCTTGGCTGAATATTCACATGCAGGTGAAAGTGGTCCAATTTTATTTTTTTTTCTTTTGTGGCCAATTAATCACTAGATAAGGAGAACATGTCAACTGCTGAATAGGCTGTGATCACAGGTGGAGCTAGGTGGGGTTCAAGGATTCGATCGAACTCAGTCGCTTTTTCGTAGATCTTGTATTTATACTAAAAAATTAAATAAATATATATGTATGTTAACTTGTGAATCCCTAACAATATTGATTGATGACTCAGTGGCAAGAAAGAAGTCATAAAAATGCTTTCCACACTAATGTTGTAGATTTGAATCCCACTATCAACAAAATATTCTTTTTTTTTTAAAGGAAGCATGTTTTGCAATATTTTCCTTTTTTGTCCTAAAATTTGAAATTCCTAAACTTTTGATCTTGGCCTCGCCTTTGGCTGTGACTAATATGAAGTCATTATACCAATTTTTTTTTTAACGGTAATTAATTAACAATAATAGTTTAATTGCTGTTAAATTTATTTTTTGGACATAATTAACACTCCTTGTAAATGTCCCTAAAGTGTATAACAACAGTTAATTTAATAACAACTAGCTAATATTGATAAAAGCTTTAACACTCTTTATTGATATGCATATTTATTGTCGTTAAAAGATATTTTTGTCACTATTGTGTAAAGCCTTCTTGAGCATGTCAGTTATGCCTAAATATTCAAACTTTTCTTTGTTAGATCTGCTTCAGGTTGCACTATAATATTAATGAAAAGAAATAGTATTCTAAACCGTCATTACACGAGTCTGGAATTAAAAGGGCAATAAAAATTTTCGAAAATTTCAAAAGAATAACTAAATTATTTATCAAATCAAAAGGGAAACAAATTTTAACGCTGTTAAAATTAGAATTTCCGCCGCAAGGCGCGGAAACGCATGAGCCTTACAAGGCACAACAACTTTTAGCCTTGTAAGGCTCAACCGCCTTGAGCCTTACAAGGCGCAAGGCTGTCAGCGTCATGGACGTGATTTATAAAAATAAAATAAAATTGGTTTCTCCCTCAGATCTGCAATTAATATATATATAGTTGTTCATCAATATTAGATCCCCAACTTATAAACCAATATCAACATGATTC